CCCCCCCCCCCTTAAGGGATCTACTTGTTGGATCCTCCCCGGGGTCTGGGGTAGGAATGAATCAGGGTTCGCTTTGGGGGTACTCCAGGGTGGACTAGGGGTTTCGGAACAAGAGTTCCTTGAAGGCTACTATATGGGGTTTTGCGGCATTAACAGACTGGACAAGTTTTAGGCCGAAAGGTTTAGTGCATGGTTTATCTCTCTTGTTTGCGTCGTCTACATAAGGGGTTTGAGATTATCGTTAAGGTTTTGGGGTCATGGGTGGGTGGGTGGTGTTGCTGATAATTAGTAAGTGGTATCATCAAGGGCTCGTTTACGTCTACTTTGATGGTCCACTTCAGGCCATGCCGAACATGATCCAAACAATAGAACCCCTGGACAAAGGCTTATCCTAAGCCATGTCATCTTAGTTCTATAATTTTAGATTCATCCTCTAGGAGAGTCTGGGAAGTGCCTTGGAGTTGCTTTGTAAAGGTTTTCCAAAATTTGCAGGGCAGGCGTACAGACTAAGCGCAATGCAGACCCGGAGTAGAAGGTAGTGGGTTCAACTTTAGGACTTGATATTCTGGTTTCTGTAAACCCCCTATGTGCACCCTACTTACAAGTCTGCTTATGACCTTTTTTTGCTGAGTCCCCTCCTAGATTTAGGGCTGGCCTCGGCACTGACAGGACATCTCCTCCCTGGCGACGTTGGCACAGTCCCTCTCCAAGACAGGCTGGCGGTTTAGGATTTGAGGTGTAGGGTGGATGGGGTTTAGGGGTAAGGGATGATTAGAGTTTTGAGTTTAGCGTTTAGGGTTAGGTTATTGGTGTGTAGGTGTCAGAAGGTTTCGAGGGTTTTGGGGCTTGCAGGGCTGACGGGTTTTCGGAGGGTCTGGACCTACAGCCTTTTAACCCGAAGTTGTGTTCAGGGTTCAGAGTGTTTTGGGATAGAGGTTTGTAATGCTGGAAGGATTTTCTATTAGTTTTTTGAACTAAACGGTATCTCAGCTGGACATGGGATAAGGATGAGCTTGTTGACCTGAGGGCTATCTTACTCAGACTTAGCATAAGCGTGCGCTGGCAGAACGAATGCTATAATACATGTCGAATGGTTTCTCATTCCACTACCCTAAGGCTCAAAATCACCCAACAGCCTGATTTAGTATGGTCTTTGGGCCTAAAAAACCCTAAACCCTAAACCCTAAAGCCTTAAACTATGACTCCTTAGAGCCTTAGGGCTAAGATGCAGACGCACTCCTGGACCCCGAAGGAACCCTCATCCAGACCCCCTTAAGGAGGATCCAAAAAGTAGATCCCTGAAGGGGGGTTGCTATAAAGACCCTTTGGTAGTATGGGGTCCCCAATTAGGGGTTTACTTTCTAGATCCTTCCGGGGGTCTGGGAATGTACCCCAAACCCCGTAAGATTGTAGAAGTGTGGATCCTTCCGACGCCCACATCTGTGAAGGTGGCATCGCAGAGACCGTGAATACGATCAAGGGCCTCGCCTCTTGACATCCAGCTTTGAGATGACAGTGGCCCTACAACCCTAAACCGCTCCTTTCCCCTGTATTTCCGTTTTTCTGTATGCATACAGGTTTCTTCCTGTAACACAAAAGGTTTTGCCGAGAGCCAGCGTTGCGGCATTGCGATAGCTGATAGCTCACCTCCATAAGTTTGTCTATAACCCTTACCCTCAAAGGACTCGTATTTCAAGGCTTTCGGGCCCAAAGACCCTATCATACAAGGCTGTTGGGCTATGTTGATGCTAAGGGTAAGAGATCTGCGCAACCTTTTGATGGAAGTGCAGAGCGCTGTTTGTGGGGAGCGGGTGCAGGTCAACCTGTAAAGCCATTTACGCACATATAGTATATACATGTATACCTTAACCCCCCTCAGAACCTACTTGTATGTAGGGTCCCTAAAAGTCCCCCAGCTTGGGGTTTATAATCAGGACCTACAAAGAGTGGGCTTTGGTGGGTTTTGGTGGGTTAAGGTCCACCTTGGCCTTAAAACACGTACATAGGGAGTTCTTCGAGGCCAACCCAGACTTCCGGGAGGATGCAAAAAGTAAATCCCGTAAGAGGTTCCCATAAATTACCCCAGAGTTATATATATATATATATATAGGATCCCAAATTAGGGATTCTACTTTCCAGATCTTCCCGGGGGTTTGGGAAGGTGCACACTAGATATCCTGTATGTGCACATGGATCTTTGGGCAACTACTGCACGCACGCTGCAGGATTTAGCTGACAAAAACTTCTTGTTGATAAGGTTTAGGGTTTAGGGTTTAGGGTTTAGGGTTTAGGGTTTAGGGTTTAGGGTTTAGGGCTTAGGCTCAAGGGGGCTTAGGCCGGCGCTTAAGGCCTACGGGCCGCGCATGCACGGGTCCCCCCGTGGAAAAAACATGAGTTTAGGGCGTAGGGCTTTTTGGTTGCACTCGACTTGAGAGGGCCACCCAAACCTAAACCCTAAACCCTAAACCCTAAACTCTAAACCCTAAACCCTAAACCCTAAACCCTAAACCCTAAACCCTAAACCCTAAACCCTAAACCCAAACCTTAAGCCCTAAACCCTGCGGGTCCTTCCGGAACCGCCCGGCCACCCTCGAAATACACAGAAAGGCCCAAGCCTAGACTCCTTCAAATATCGGACAACAAGAGTTTAGGGATGAGGGATTCCCTCCCTCCCTCCCTCCCTCCCTCCCTCCCTCCCTCCCTCCCTGCCTTAGGGTTTAGGGCAAGAGCCCTTCCAAAATTCGACTTAGTTCTCCAATACCCAACCTTTAATTTTTTTGGGGTTCTTATCACTTAGTAGTAATCTGAAAGTCTAGGGTTTTATTTCCCTGGCTTATTGGGGAAGTAAGTATCTGACAACAAGAGCCCTTCCAAAATTCGAGTTACAAAGAACATCTTTCAATTATGTCGGCTCAGGAAGCCTATTTCGAGGGTCGGGGATTTAGCACGCAGTAGGTTTATGGACTTATAAGTTTATTATAAGTATCATTGCAACGTTAGGACGCCTTTTGAATTGCTTATAAGTCTACTTAACTACTTCCCGACTACGTCCCCCGACCCTCCAAGCAGATCCTAAACTCTGGGCCCCTGAAGCCTTAAAACCCGGCCCTCCAAGAGGTTCCGTTGCTTCAATGCTTGAACCTGAGCAGAAAGAGGAGCTTTCAGAACACGACAGCATATGTGTAGTTCTCTAAATTAGGGTCCTTCTTTAGGCCCCCAATATAGTGCGGCACCCTTATAACAAGGACCCTAAAAGGGACAATAATTTAGAGAACTATCCATATACAAATCTTATAGGACCCAGCTAAACACATAGAAGACCCTAGAACCATGAACCTTCTAAGGTTAGAAGTATGGGCCCCTAGTATGGACCCTAAGGCCTGTCTAGGGACCCTGAAGGGTACACATAGGGTATATAGTAGGTGTATAAGGATCCCAGGGTTAAGGGCCCATACTTGGCCCATGGGTTCAACCTTACGACCCGACTACACTAAAGGTCACCGGCATGATGGAGAGCCTCTCTCAAGAAGCCGCGGCCGCGCAGTTGCTCGGCAGAGCATCGTCCAGCTGCCGGGAGATCTGCAAGGGGATTCATCTGGGACAAGCAGTTAAAACGGCAATATAGGGGCCTATAAATAATTACCAATGCTATTGTGGGGGCTCCGTATTATAATTATGGTATACTATACACCCAAAACCCTATTCTGACTATTAAGGCCCTTCCAAAAGCACTCGCGTATTTGCCAATACAAAAACCTCACCACAAGCATCCGCGAAAAGCCATCACCGCCGCATTCGCCAAAACAAAAACTTTTATTACGCTTCAAGGCATCGCAGACCTGAACCCTGCGTCCCGAATCCTCATCCCAGGGCCTCCACACTCCTTCAGATGAGCGGCATACCTAGGGCTTAGGGTTTAAAGGGTTTGGGGTTTAACCTTTATGGGGTTTGGGGTTTATAGGGTTTTTAGGGTTCATAGGGCTTATAGGGTTTATGATTTTATAGGGCTTATAGGGCTTATAGGGTTTAGGGTTTTAACGTAGAACGGAGAGCTCTGGTATTGGGATCCTTCGTAGTATGATTTCAGGGATATCTGCTTTGTCACAAGGTGTTGGAGTTTCCGGCTGCCCCTGGTCCTCCACAAAATTGGCTTACTTTAAGGGTTTAGGGTTTAGGGTTTAGGCTTCTGGGCGGGGTTCTTGGATTTAGAAACAGGATTTTTGAACTTGGGTTTGAGCGTCAAGGATCCGAGGCGTAGATCCCTTATACGGGGCTCCTCTAGAGCACCCTAAACCCTAAACCCTAAACCTTAGCGTAGGGTCCCAAATTCGGGGATCTACTTTTGGCTCCTCCCGGGGGTCGGGGTTTAGGGTTTGTACAGCTTACATGAAATAGGCGAAGGTCTGAGTATAGGGAGTCATAAACCTTAGTAATGCGAACAGGTCTTAGGGTTTAGGGTTTTGGGTTTTGGGAATATTATTGTCCTGTCATCAGAATAAGGAGCCCTATAAGGAGTAGTTCTGCTAATGATTCAGACGTCTATATGGGTGGTTGCCAAAACTGGAGTCTCTGTTGGTTTCCCAAACTATAGGGACTATGAAGGTGCCGTATCAAGAGTAGAAATACACAGGGCTCGCCAGAAGGACGATGGTTTTGTCAGCTACCCATACCAGAACAAAACACTACCAATGACAGGCCCTAGGTCGAGGCGCACCCCATTCTACGAGCCAAGCTTCGGTTTCCCAGACCACCGGAAGCATCCAGAAAGTAGATCCCTTAATGGGGGTTCCTATAAAGAGCCTTTAGTAGTATAGGGCCCTAAACCCTAAACCCTAAACCCTAAACCCAAATTAGGGGTTCTACTTTCTAGATCCTCCCGGGGGTCTGGGTTGGGAGGGAGCGGTCCATCTCCGAAGTTGTCCTGAGGCTTGGCCTGGCAAACAAGACGCTCTATGACGCATGCAACACCAACAAGGTGGGGGTTTTAGGGTTTAGGGTTTAGGGGCAGGTTGAGCAGGCTTATGATTTTGCAAATTAATATAGGGGCCTTAATCGTTAGAATAGGGTTTGGGGCCAATTATGCTACACTGATAATAGGGAACCCCCAAAACCCTATTCTAGTTATTAAGGCCCCTGCATTAATGCAGCGTTCAGGCGTTCAGACCTCAATGAGGGCCTGGATTTCCTCAGGGGATGGTACTTGGGATAAGCGGTTCATCGCTTCCCATCCGGAGGATCTGAAAATAGATGCCGTCATTTGGGACCCTATACTACTAAAGGGCACGTTTTTTGGCCCCCTTTAAGGGATCTTCTGCTTGGATCCTCTAGGTGGTCTGGGCTTCCCTAAACCCTAAACCCTAAATCCTAAACCCTAAACCCTAAATCCTAAACCCTAAACCCCTAAACCCTAAATCCTAAACCCTAAATCCATACTTTTTAGATCCTTCCGGCGGTCTGGGAAAACAGGCCTCAGCCATGGCTGCGGTGGCCAAATTGGAGGCCGCTGTCCCTGCCCCGGAGTTCTCTCAACAAAGGGCCGCAAGTTGTAGGGTTTAGGGTTAAGGGTTTAGGGTTTAGGGTGGATTTAGGGCCAAAGTTTTTTAGGGTTTAGGGTTTATATTGTTTGTTTAAGGGTGTCTATGGGGCCTATGGATTAAGTTTTACCTCTGGGTGCTTGAGGATTTTTTTACCATGTTTTTTTTGACGGGGGAGGGTTGAGGGCTTGTGTATGATGTTATTGGGTTTCTAGAGGGTTCTATCAGGTTTTCAGAAGTCTTGATCTTTCATTGTGTGTTTTACTAGGGCGGTAAAAGGCTTCGCAGGGTGTGTAGGGCTTCGTCAGATTGTGCAACCGGGTTTGCTTGTGCGTTGTTGAGAAAGCTTTTGCAGGATTCGTGAGAATTGGTTTTTGTTGTTGAGGCTTGTGGGTGTGCATTTTCTGAAGATGCAAATGGGGCTCCGTACAGTTTCTGAGGACGTATATGGGGCTCCGCAGGAAATTGCAAACTGTTACAACAATGTTCGCGTTTCAGTTGTTGACCGACAACGTTTGTCTTTCAGTGCTACTACCATTGCCGTGCCGTCTAATACAACTGCAACTAAGCTTCCTGCTGCTATGGCCATAAACCCGAAACCCTAAACCCGAAACCCTAAACCCGAAACCCGAAACCCGAAAGCCTAAACCCTAAACCGCTAAACCCTAAACCGTCCTGCCCCTCCTAATCTTCATTGTAACACTCCTACGACAACTACGACGACCACCACCAGCACCAAAACCCTGACGTGTACTACCTCTACTGCTACAGTTCAGTTTAGGGGTTTAGGGGTTTAGGGGTTTAGGGTTTAGGGTTTAGGGGTTTAGGGTTGCTCAGATACGTACTGTTCTTGCATGAACATGGCTATACTTGGAGGGTCATGGGACTTAATCTAATAGGTACAGTTATAAGAACCTTAATTGGGGTTATACAAGTGTAGGTACATTAGTTATAGCCCTAGTTGCTACGTCCCATGAGCCTTTTAATTTAAGCAACCCTAAATAAGAACCCATACGATGGAACCCATGTAGATCCCATAGAGGAACCGTTTAAGGAGCCCTTTAGGGTATAGGGTTGTGTCACTGTTCGGGGATCTTCGCTGGCATACCGTGATGTTTTGGGGCTGGGTCCACTTGGAGGTTCATGGGACTTACTAGGTACAGTTATAAGTACCTTCATTGAGGCTACAGGTAATTATGAATATAGTTATCTTATTTATAGAGCTAGTTACTGAGTCCCATGAACCTTTAAGTACAGCCCTGAATCCTAGCCTAAACAGATAAACCCTCAACCCCATGAATATAGTTATCTTATTTATAGACCTAGATACTAAGTCCCATGAACCTTTAAGTGGCTACTATGCCCGATGGCAAAGAAGTTTTCGTTCCCCTAGGCTCCTGCTGACGTGTCTCGGCTGCAGAATGGCTCTGGCACGACGGACGGCTTGATAAGATAGCAGGTTTAGGGTTTAGGGGTTAAACAACTACCTGAACCCACCAGAACATACCTTTTGGTAGGATCCCTATAAATTCCATACTAGAGTTGATAATAAGAACCTACCCTAAGGGTCCGTGTGCTCAAATAGTATATACTCTGGCCTTCAAGTAGTCCCTATATAGGTACTTTGGTGCCAAAGTATATACTATTTTGGGTACATGGACCCTTACGGTTAATCAACTAGTGGTACCTAACAGGGGTGTTAGCATGTTGTGTTCAGCTTTCCTTAAGCACTGTGTACTTTAGGGTTTGGGATTGTTTGGGTTTACGCAAGTCGTGGCAGTCCTCGGCTAGAGCCTGTCAGAGCAGCGATACCCTCGGTGTTGATATTTGTCTAGAGAAACCAGCACCGCCACGGTTTAGGGTTTAGGGTTTAGGGTTAAGGATTTAGGGTTTAGGGTTAAGGATTTAGGGTGTAGGGTTTAGGGTTTTGGGTTTAGGGTTTAGGGTTAGCAGTCGGCCTTCTCGTCAAGGAGCCTTGGATTACGCGCATCCTAGATGGCCACAAGATCTGGGAATGCAAAGCTCTCCCTGTTAGCCCAGCGGAAAATCAGCGAAGCAGCGCAGGGGAAGGCCATCATGCAGTCCTTCAAAAGCCTCAAAGAAAAGTACGGGAAAAAACCCGCTGAGAAAAAACTCCAGGGACCGGAAAAAGGACCCTGGAGACCCAGCGGGATGACATGAAGGGGCCTCGACCCTGGTGGTTCCCAGATCCAGAAGCAATGGACGACCCAGCTACTCGTTGAGGTTACATATATATATATATATAATAAGTTTATATTGCATCGAAGTCTAGCTAGACTATAACTAATCATATATAATGTGATACAACCCCGCATGTATATATCGAATGTGTCGGATCGCACTGGCATGTTCCGGGGTACGGTACAGGGCCGCTATACCTTCTGAGGTCGACGCTCTGGACTGCCTTCGTGTTGGCTATATATGCGCATTTCCAAAAGGTAAAAGGTACATGCGACGTCGAAACCTGATACAGGAGCGTTCGGGCATGATAACCACCACTACCCAACCCTCCGGCGGGAGGATCTAGAAAGTAGAAGCCCCCACTGTACCCTTTACCACTCAAGGTGCTTGAGGGGAACGCCTCCCCCCCCACCCTCGAAACCCTAAACCCTATAAGCCCCAAAGCCTAAACCCTTCAGGGGGCTACTATAAAGTACCCTTTAGTAGTTTGGTGTCCCAAGTTTGGGGTTCTCTTTTCAAATCCTCCCAGGTGTCTGGCTTTGAGCTGAAAGATCTAACTTTGAGTTGGAAACCAGAAGTGGGCCCAAGCAAAATACACTTTCCTCGGGATATCCCTACTTTATTGGCTTTCTGAAAGAGGGTAGTATTTGGAGGGTCGGGAGACGTAGTAAGTGGAAACCAGAAGTGGGCCCAAGCAAAATAGACTTTCCTCGGGATATCCCTACTTTATTGGCTTTCTGAAAGAGGGTAGTATTTGGAGGGTCGGGAGACGTAGTAAGTTTTTGCAGGCTTGTAAGTCTCATAATACCGATTAGGATCCGTTCTACTTATACCTAAACCCTAAACCCTAGCACCTAAATCCTTAACCCTAAACCCTAAACCATAAATCCTTAACCCTAAACCCTAAACCCTAAACTACTATAAGCCTACTTATTACCTACTCACTATGTCTCCCGACCCTCCAAAGCATGGGACAGGCCGACCTTCTGGTCGCTCCTTTGTGGGTACTACGGTGGATGATATAAATCGCTATCCCAGACCCCCGGAAGGATCTAGAAAGTAGAACCCCTAATTTGGGACCCTATACTACTAAGGGCTCTTTATAGGAACCCCTTTAAGGGATCTACTTTTGGGATCCTTTCGGGGGTCTGGGTATAGGGTTTAGGGTGTAGGGCTCTAGGGGCTTAGGGTTCTAGGGGCTTAAGGCTTAGGGTTTAGGGCCATTAAATGAAGGAAGCTAAACTATGGGAATTACGGTTTTTCCTTATTAAGGGTTATGCAGGAATCATCAACAGCATCTGTCCCCAGACTTCCGGGAAGATCCAAACAATTCGGCTTCTTTGGAGGGTACTGTCAAGGTTCCTAGTACTTTCCCAGACTCCCGGGAAGATCCAAAAAGTAGATCCCCTAATTTGGGACCCTAACCACTAAAGGGTACTTTTTCGGAACCCCCTCAAGGGATCAACTTGTTGGATCGTTGCGGGGGTCTGGGACTTTAAGGGTACCTTAAGGCTTTGGGTTGGGGGTTCAGGGTTTACGCCGGGCTTTTCAAGACCCAGAAAGTAGATCCCTTAACGAGGGTTCCTCTAAAGCACCCCTTAGTGTAAGGCCGCCTAGGAAAGACCCTTCAGCGATGTAGGGTCACAGGTTCGGGGTCGACTTTCTAATTCCTCCCGGGAGTCTGGGTAAAGATAAACCCTAAACCCTAAACCCTATCCTTCCAGGGATTCTGGGTCGGATCCCGCAAGCAGGTCTCCCACCGTCTCAGACCCGCGGGACCCAGACCCCCGGAGGGATCCCCTAATTTGGGACCCTTTGCTACTAAGAGCTCTTTATAGGAACCCCCAATCAGGCATCTACTTTTTGTGGGGGTCTGGGTAATGGGTGTATAAGGTACCAAGTCAGCCGGTGTGTCTACTTTGTATATCCTCCCCAGACCCGCGGGAGGATCTAAAAAGGAGATCCCTTAACGGGGGTCCAATATAGAGAGCCTTTAGTAGCATAGAGTCCGAATTAGGGGATCTACTTTTTAGATCCCTCCGGGGGTCTAAGTAAGGGCCATTTTAAAGTTGAGGGGTATACTTTTGGGGGAGCCACTCATCGGTCCGGGTCTGTGTTGGCCAAGATAGATCCCGGCGTTCCAGCTGCGCGACTTTCTCAGGGTTGTGGGTCACGTAAAACACCGCTCTAAACCTCAATTCAAAACCCTTGAAAGCCTTCTGAGCCTTGTTGAAAGAAGATCTATACACGCCGAAACCCTAAACCTCAAACCCTAAACTCTAAACACTAAACACTACCCTAAACCCTAAACCCCTAAACCCTAAACCATCCCAAACACCTAAACCCATAAACCTAAATCTTATACCCTATATGGTGGAAAGCCTATGATTATTGGCTTCCTTGGACGGCTTGGAAGCTACCCGCGCCCAGGGCCACTACGCAGAGTACCACAAGTGCATGGAGGAGCTGCTTGGCTTTCCCAGAACCCCGAAGGATCCAAAAAGTAGATCCCTTAATGGGGGTTTAGGGTTTAGGGTTTAGGGTTTAGGGTTTAGGGTTCAGGGTTCAGGGGTTTAGGGTCTAGGATTTAGGGCTGTACTTAAAGGTTCATGGGACTTAGTCACTAGGGTTATAAATAAGGCAACTATACTTATGATTACTTGTAACCCCAATTAAGGTACTTATAACTGTACTTGTTTAAGTCCCATGAACCTCTAAGCTGACTACCCACCGGGAGGATCCAAAAAGTAGATCCCTGACGGGGGGTTCCTAAAGTACCCCCTGAGGAGTGTAGGGTCCCAAATGAGAGGTTCTACTTTCTAAATCCCCCCGGAGGTCTGGGTAAATATGCGCCTGCACGCAGTTTTTGGATTGTTTTGGGGTATATCATATTTCACCTGGTTTTTTTACTACACTCATCATGTAGTAATCAGAATTCATGAGGAGTAGGTGTTGGATGGTTTTGGGGTATATAATATAACATTGTATGATGTTGTACTATACTCGTTCGTCATAGGCTGATTAACTGTTGGCTGCTTTTGGCTGCAACACAGGGCCTTCATAATCTCGACTTGGGTTTGGGGGTAAGTATATTGCAGTGTTAATACACAGGGACTATATAGTATTATAGTATCTATAGGAGAACCCTAAAGCCGAAGCCCCCAAACCCCAAACCCCTAAGCCCAAAACCCCCAAACTCCTAAATCCCCAAAACCCCAAAACCCTAAGACCTTTGGTTGGTGGATATTCCGACCTCGATGGTATCCGCCAGCCGAAGCTAGGATTTGGATCCAAATCCCGTAATCATTCAGCAGCCGCAGAATAGTTTATAGGGCCTTAACAATTAGAATAGGGTTTGGGGGTATGTTATATTATAAGTATAACAAGGAGGCCCCAGTACAGCATTCTAATTATTAAGGCCCCTACATGGTAGTTTTAGCAGTATTTGTGAAGAATGGTCTTTTAATTCGTAGGACGTGCCGCAATCTCTATTGAATCCTCTCAGTCATACATATCTACATGTGTACCTGCTCGCATTACGTACGTATAGATAGTTGTTTAGCGGGGCTGCTGTAGATTCGGCCTCCTGGGCTTATATGCGCTTCATGAGCACGTCATACATCTCTTATTTTATATAACTGAAATGCAGTCGCCACACCCCTTATTTCATGCCAATTCCAATTTCTGGGATCCTGACCCTTAACCTTAAACCCTGAGCACTTCTTATATGATATCTTTAAAGTTGTTTCATACTGTAGGATCCTAGAGTTATGCATGATATGCAGCCCAAGAGTTTGCGACGAGCCACAGTGATCTCGAGTTGCCACTCTTATAGCGGAGACTCCGGAGCCCCTTACTTGAAGGTTCATGGGACTTAGTAGTTTAGGGTTTAGGGTTTAGGGTTTAGGGTTTAGGGTAGGCTTAGAAGTAAGGTAACAACCCCAGTTAGGGTACTTATCATTGTACTTATTAAGTCACATGAACCTCCAAGTACTTGAGGAAAGAACCGTAAACTATGCAAGGGTGGTTTCCAGAAATCACGAATTATAACATCTTGAGGTTTAGTTGGTGTTTTGGGCCTCACTCTGTATGCACCGGAAAAACAGCCACGTAATACTGCAATGGACTGCATAATACCATAGGTGCTAAGCCCTCACAACCCTCTAAAATCTCAGCCCCTTCGGGTTTGAGGTTTGGGGTAAAGTGCACGCCTCCCCAGCTTGCAAGACCCACCTTCAATAGACAACGTACCAAAATAAGACAAGACACTTAAGCTTATTTTGGGTGTTTTGACTCGAAGTACACCCTAGTGCCTGTTGCTCAGAATCCAGCCCGAATGACCTTGCGCTGTTTTTGCACTGAGAAACCCTACTCCAGTAAGGGGTTCAGGCGGCTAAGGGTTCTTGGAGTTTGCGGTTTAGAGTTTTGTAGGGTTTGGTTTTGGGGCTTTTGCTGCTCACTCTGTTCATATCTCACCTCTACACATCATATGCTTCTTGAAGCGCCAACATAGATTTCCCGATATGATGACCGCAAAAGCCAACTACAAGTTTTGGGACGCTGCCGTAGCGCAACCCTTCGCCACCTAAGCCATAATCCTAACCCCTAAACCCCCAAACCCTAAACCCTAAACCCTAATTCTAAACCCCTAAACCCTAAACCCCTAAACCCTAAACCCTGAACCCTAAACCCCCAAACCCTAAACCCCTAAACCCTAAACCCTAAAGCCTCCAAGCTCTAAGCTGAAGCCCTTGATCAGCCCGTTCACGGCTGCCAATCTGAACAGGCCCCTATTGACCCTACAAGCCCAAGATAAACCCCAAAAAGCCCTGTAAGCCCTACAAAACCATAGAAACCCGAACAACCTACATAAACCCAGATAAAAACCAATGCGCCCCGTAAGCCCTAAGACCCTAAACACTACGCCGAATAAGCCTTTTTTGCAGGCCTCGAAGCCTCATAAACCCTAAAAAAACCTCATGAACCCAACAAGGTGTAGGGTTTCGGGTTTAGGGATGTGGAAGGCTTTCTGAAACTCTAAGCCCCGTCAGCCCTTTTTAGCCCTAGACACCCCCAGACCCCCGCAAGGATCTAAAAAGTAGAACCCCTAATTTGGGACCCTAACTACTAAAGGGTCTCTACAGGAACTCCGATCAAGGGATCTGCTTGTTGGATCCTTTTGGGGGTCTGGGTAGACCCTAAACCCAAAACCTAAACCCTAAACTGTAAACCCTAGACACCCTCAGTGGACCCTAGGCTGACAAACCTGAATACGACCGCACAGAGCTGCACCAACCAGGAGGCAAAAGTGAGGGCTTAGGGTCTGGAGGGTTTAGGGCCTACGGTCTAGGGTTTAGGGTTTAGGGTTTAGGGTTAGAGGGCTTAGAGGGTTTAGGGCCTAGGGTTAAGGGTTTAGGGTTTTTCGGTGTAAGGGTTCAGGGTTTTAGGGTTTATTGGGGGAGGGGGAGGGTTTAGAGGGCTTAGAGGGTTTAGGGCCTACGGTCTAGGGTTTAGGGTTTAGGGTTTTTCGGGGTATGAGTTTAGGGTTTAGGGTTGTTCAGTGTATGAGTTTAGGGTTTAGGGTTTTTCAGTGTATGAGTTTAGGGTTCATTGTTTTTAGGGTTTAGTGGGGGAGGGGGAGGATCCGAGTTTGGGGGGTTCCTTTACAGGGTACTAGCAGCGGTGTTACAAGCGTTGCTACAAGGGTGGCCGAGGGTGCAGAGTTTAGTGGTTACGGCTCGGGTTTGGGCGGTTCAGGGCTAGGGGTAGGGTTTAGGGTTTAGGG